ATTTGCCATATTTTTATCTTCGCTCTGAAGCTCTGGTAACACTTGTTGAAAATTAAAATAAATTTTGAGTTATCTGCTCACAGTGTACAAAAGTGTGTTACAGTCATGTGGAATTTTACTCATCCAACATCCAAGTATTGTAGGAAAATAATGCTATAAGTTTTATCACACTCGCCAATTTGTACTTTTGAATAACCCACAAAGAGAACAAGAAAAATCTAGACGTTAAGTTTACAATTTTTTTCTTCACAAAACTCTCTAATCATGTACCAAAATAAAAAGAAAAAACATGAATATATAAAAAAATATTGACAAATCCTGAATTTTATACAATTTCGCTGACCCGGGAGAATTATTTTCAGCACAGTTGTTATCTTCCAAATTCAAGTAGTAGAAGGATAAAAAAAATCGCATGAAAATTTGGATCAAAATGAAAATATGAATAGAAAATATTGATTTTGCCGAGTCAGCCTGTCTAACGGAGTTTCTTTAATGTAGATGAAGTTCTAAACATTGTCTATTTTTTTGTACTACGCCAGCTTGACGAGTTCATCCAACTTGCATTGAAGATGAAACATTTTAAATGAAGTCTATTTTTACTTATGTGGTACAAACTTTTAAGCAATCCATATCCTCAAGGTTGAATCAGTTCACCACATAGAAAACCCTACCCCGTTGCCATTTCAATTCAGGCAACAATTACACTTATAACATTCACCAAATTTCATCAATGGTGATCACCCGCATTGCAGATAGGCCAACAAAATTGAAGCAACAGTCACAAGGTCTGAAGTCGTTCAAAGTTTGAATTTTTATTGTTTTTTTCGACTTGTTCACCCAGCTAGTATGTGCATAGTTTTACTATTTATATAACTCATTCACGTGTTTATTTATTTTTTGAAAATTGCTGCATTTTAATCTAGCTTGTGAAAGACGGGTGTGAAACTTACTGTGATGTGAATTTCGATTTCAAAGCTTATATTTTTTATGTATGTGTTCATGTTAATAGAAAATATTTTGATTGATTTTGTCTGGATTAATTTGGTAGAAATTCTGTATATATGTTTTGATTTTATGGATTAGAATCGTAACGCAAGCACACTTGAATCCATTTTTCCCTTCAAATTTCTACTATTTTTATGCTCATAACATATCTATTTTTATAGTGTTAATTATGTTAATGGCCGTCAAAACTTTAAGTAATTTAGCATGTGTCTGGGCACTTGTGCACATTTCTTTATATTTAGCTTCCTCCTTCTCTGGTCATGGTATAGTACCACAGCTTGCATCAGATGAGCATTAATCATTTCTCCCTGTTGTGTTGGGGTAAACTCATTTTCTAATTTATCCCAAGATTGATTAAAATAAGTAAAGGCAGACCTTGATGATCGAGAAACAAAAGGAGGAGCATAGAAAGAATTGCTAAATCAAACTCTTCATTCGGATGAAGGTTGAATAGATATCCCGAGATTTGGAGCAGATTTTCTAGGAGAATGAGAGATTTTAACTTGCTCGAACTCACTTGGCGAGTTTTAGAACTTAAGCAAAAAATGGGTGCTGCTAAGGCACAAAGATCGCTAAGAGCTTGACTTCAAAGGGGTCCTACATCATCAATCAACACACCAAAATAAAATAATATTAACTATTAAAACAAAAAACGAATGAGGAACAAACACTTACTATATTCGCCATAGAACCAAAGCATAACGGCCGAAAGAATAAGATCATTAGGTTAAAACCCCTAGTTATCCCAGACAAAGAATAACTCTCCTTCCAATTATGCACTTTATTAAGAGTGACTACAAATTTTTGATATATTCTAGAGCGAGGGGAAAGTTAGTAATACTCTTTTTGAGGTTTCGCTTTATTTCTCTCTTTTACACGATGAAAAATAAATCGAAATGCATCCGATAAATGCTCCCTGTCTAAACCCACTGAACTGCTAGGAAAATTGACCCAATCATATAAGCCTACCCATATAGAGTAAGCTGGGTAGTAGCAATGTTAAAGGAAGAAAGAACCTTGTGAAAGAAGGAATGTAAAGGAACTATAAGTCTCATGTACATTGAATGTTTATAAATAGTTATACAATCATGAGGAGGATGACCGGCAATTCAAAATTGCTCAGGACACAGTAATTCTATATCATCAGGGACATTAAATCAATTCCCAATTTCATCTGAATCCTGCTCGATAAGATTGGTAAAAATTTTTGAATTTTCTAAAACCTTCTCATCACTATCATGAAAACTTAAGTATTTACTCAAAGGTTTGCACACTTTATCGCATACCTCAACCCTAGGAAGGGAACTACCCCATTCCCTAAGAAGTTCTAGATTGACGCAACGCAAGTACCTAAATGCGTAACTTCATAGCATGACAACACCTCGGCAGTATATAGCGTTTCTATGGAAGAAGAAGAAACACTAGGAGAATCAATCTTAAATCTAGAACTCCCTAGTGTCAGAATTATATATATGACATATTTTGGGAGTCACTTCGAGAAGCTATTGTTAGAAAAGACTGTAGAACTTTAAAGATTAACCACAAAAGCAAGATGATGGCAAAGCATGTACCTAAAGGAGGGATTTTGAAGGAAGACAAAGAAGGCGGGGATATATTCACCAGAAATAAGCCCAGCAAGAGAAAACAACGAAGAAAAAGTAATGCATACACTCACGGAAAGAAAGACCGACTTATAGGTTCTAAATAGGAGATATAAATCGTTGAATTATGCTAGAAACAATCAAAGCCATTTTAATTATTTCGAACAATCGTAACCATTGAATACTAAGAGACGCCTAATCAAAACTCGTAATGGACGGGCATTATTGAACGTAGTTTACATGCTGATTAAGCACCCAGGGGCCACCAACCTAGGAACACCCAAATAGGCCCATTAGTGCAAGTAGGAAACGGCTACAATCATGGCATACTTCTTCGATGAAGAACACATTAATAATAATAATAATAATAATAATAATAATAATAATAATAATAATAATAATAATAATAATAATAAAGTAATGCCACACCTACGAGTTCGGAGCTTGACAATAAACAAGTCTTAGATTCAATATGAATAATGAAATCGAATTTTGGGGACTATTTAATAAATTAAGAAACCTATCCTGCAAGCTCACTACCTCAAGAGAAGTCTAAAAACACGTGAGGGCAATTAGAACGTAGAAGATTCGTATAAGAAACGGGGAAAACATCATACTCTATGATGACAAAAATCGTTAGTTAAACACACGTGGACAAATATGAAAAATATGAATTTTAAACGATGATAACATTATAATGCATTATGGAAATCGATTATCAGTCCACCACAAAATGAGCACCACCTTTTTATTTTCTAGAATGACTTGCCTTCAAGGAAATCTATAAATACTCCTACCTAATAGATGAAAGGGCAATCAAATTCAAATATCTCCCTTTCAAATAACCATTTCCACTCTTGATTGAGCATCAAATTCAAAGAGTTTAAGAGAACGTCCTAGTTAGGTGAGAAGAATCAACACCATACACACTCATCCACATTGTGCGTGGAAGTGCAGATTGAACAACAAATACAAGCCCTTCGGATAAATTGTGCATGAAAGTGCACATCGAACAACCAATACAAGGCTTTCATGTCTGTCACCAAATTCATAGCCAGCATGAGGTCACGTGGAGTACATTGCACAACAACAGAAGATAAAAAGGTGTCATGAACTAGTAACAAACAATAGAAGATAGAGAGGTCTGATCTGTCAAAATTAAGGGAGTATTAGATGGTTGGATTGATCAAGAAAAAAGGTAGTGCAATACTAAAATGATCGTATAAAATCCTATGCGTGCCAGAGGGTTGAATCGACCAAAGAAAATGGTCCGCATCATGGAGAAAATTTTTTCAAGGTTCACGACTCAAAGATAGAGAAATGGAGAACAACCACCAAAATAAGATTTCTGACTCCAAGAAAATTAGAAGTAGTAGAAGATCCAACAATTTTCATGAAAATAAAGCTCATGCGCTGCAATCTGGGATTACGAGAAGGCTATGTTGATCAAGAGGGAGGATCGTCCAGCAATTCTATGGGATTGAAATAGCGAACAAAGGAAAAAAGAAATTCTGGCTTATGTACTAGGTGATTCGTGCATAAGGCAGATTTTCACTCAAGCCCGGTACAGTTACCGGAATGTCATTGGAGGTTGACTAAGGCCTAGGTTTGGGTCGTGAATAGGAGTCAAAACTTGGTTTAAGTCTCGAACAGTTTCCTTGGTGACTGATGCTACCAAAAATCGTACCTGTAGATTTTCCGAGCTTGATGACGGATGTGGGGCACGAACGTGATCTTCCGATACCTGAAACAAAGGCAACGAGTTGTGTTCTCATCGCCCCTCCGATGCTTAAGTCAGAAAGGAAAATATATGCGTGAGGCTATGTGCTGAAGAACAATGTAAAACGTACCTAAATAATGGCCCAAGGTTCTGCTTTTATAGGAGTAGGTAGTGTACTCCTAGTAGGATTGTGTTGGTTGGATGTTTTTATCCAAGGGAATTTCTATTATAAAGAGTGTCCTACTTATAATGGAATTGTTTGACAAGTGGTGTTAGGGTTGATGTAGAATCCTTGGGTGTTTAGATTTATTAGTTAGGTACCCAGGTCTTAGGAGGTATGTTGGTGGTGTATGTCTCGAGGACTATTCTCGAGGACATTGAGGGAATGTAAATGTGTCCTCGAGGTATCTCGAGGACTACAATATCTCGAGGACTTAGGTGACCCCGAGGACCGAAGAAGAGAAATGAGGTGGGGTATAGATTGAGTCCTCGGGATACACTCCTCGGGGTATATCAATATTGGCATAGTCACTGGCCCCCGTGCACTCGTCCTAGAGATCGTGCTCTTAGGATGGGGTGCACATGGGTTATGTCATTTCTCGGACATTCATTGAGAAGTGACGGCTGATGATATAGGTCGAGATATGACCGTTGCAGAGAGTGGCTTGGGATTTGTGACACGTGTCTCTGTGGACGGTCGTAGATAGCGACCTTTGGCCTCCCATCATTTTCACCTATAAATACTATTGTTCTCACCTTCATTTTTCACTTTTACCCACTGTAAATCAGAGCTCTGAGAGGTCGTGCTCGAGAGAAACACTTTGGGAACTTCTCAAGTCGTCGGGAACTCCAGGTAAGGCTGGAGACTTTAAGTTATTCATAAGCTAGGTCTTTAAGTTTGTTAAGTAATGTCGAGTAGTGAGGGTCGAGAATCTTCTAGCAGTTCTAGTAGTAGTGAGGAGGACGTAGGGACCTCGATAATACCGACGGCTATTCCCCTAGAGGCTACTCCCGAGGCCTAGGTCAATATGGTTTTTGAGTATCCCGACGAACCCTGTAGGCTTAAAGAGCACTCAGTCATAGCTGCGGCTAGGGAATATGGTATAATGCCTAATTGCGATGTTAGATTTCCTGACCCCGAGGATAGGATTATTCGAGCACGACGAGTGGAGTTTGTTATTTTTAGGGAGACCCTTAAGGCTGGCTTTAGGTGGCCCCTTCACCCCTTCTTTATTGCTCTATTAGTCGAGCACTCCATGTGCCCGGAGCAATTAGTGCCCAACGCCTGGAGGATGCTCGTTTACTTTTTTATAGCATGTAGATACTTAGGTATCGAGCCCAACGTTAGCCTCAGCAAATTAGTGTTCGAGCTTAAGAAGCATCCTCGATACACTTGTTTTGGCTATCTCTCGACAATTGGGGGCTTTAAAGTCCCGAGGATGGCGAGCTCTTTAAAGGGGTGGAGGGAGGGGTGGTTTTATGTTGTAGCCCAAGAACCCGATCTTCCTTTCTGGCCTGATTGGGGAATCCCCGACGCTGAGAAGTTCTCTGAGGGCCAGGTGTATCCGGATGTTTTGGAAGAGCATAGGAGGATGCTGGTCGGGCTCAGCCCCCTTTTCTCGACGATGAAGGAGATTGGGGAAGAGGTTTTAGACCTGGCAGATATTAGAGGCGTCGAGGGTAGGGATGTTCCTTTATTGTTATTTTTTGAAAGATACCCCGACCTTGTGCTCGTTCTAAATGTTTATAAATATTTGCAGGTATGTCTTTTGATCCTCGGGCTCTCCGGAACTTTGTCAGCACAAGGGGAGGCGCTCCTCCACAGGGGCAGCCCTCGAGGAAGAAAAGCAAGAAGAGGCCTCGAGGGGCTCCTGAGGGTGCGAGAGGGCCTGGCGAAACTTCTCGAACACATCCAGAAGTCTCGACCCCTCTGCAACTGAACCTCAGATCTCCGACTCCTCGTGTCGTCACTCCTCGGTCTCCTTCTGAAGTGGTTGACCTTGAGGATGAGCCGTCTCTCACCGGGGGACTTTGGGACTTGCCACCTCGCTCCTGAGCTCGTAAACAAATACAAAGAGGAGGTCAAACTCGAGGATGGGATGAAGGTCCTCGAGGGTCTTACAGTGAAGGTAATCTTCGAACTTTTGACTTTAACCTCCAGTTTATTGGTCGAGCTTAACACTTGACATTTTCTTCATTTTTTCCATATGTTGAGTATAGCTCGAGGACTCTCTCTGCAAGGGCTCGAGGAGGCCAAGAGGGCAGCTGGGGTCGAGACGTCCATGGCCTCTAAGGACAGCAGGATTCAAGACCTCGAGGCCCAGGTCGAGGTTTTATTGAAGGAGCGTGATGACGCGAGGAGGGAGGCTGCAAAGGCCAGGGATGACTTGGTTGCAGCAAAGGATGAGGTCGAGGGGGCGAGGCTCGAGCTCATCCAGAAGACAGAGGATTTCGGGCGCGAGCTCGAGGCTATCAGGGAGAAGACTTGGGAGGAGTTTAAAACCTCCGAGGACTGCGACAAGATAAAAGGGGAGTATGCGTCGGGGGCGTACTTCCATGCTCTGAAAGAAGCCCAGGCCTTCCTCAGGCAGAAGGTTCCCGATGTCACTCCAGACGACCTGAAGACGGTGCCTTCCATTGCTGATACATTGGAGCTCTCGGGTTCGGAAGATGGAGGAGGATCGGGTGGAGATGATGAGGAAGGTCTTGAGGACGACGTTGAGATCGACATCAGCAACCTCGACCCTCCTCTTGGCCACATTGGATGACTTCCCCACCCCGATCCTTTGTAATTTTTTGGTTTAATTTCGACAATGTAAATTGATCGAGGATTATGTATGTTTAGTTAATTTATTCGAACTATTTATCTCGACCCCTTGGACTCCATACAATCGAGCAAACAAATTCGAAACTTACTGCTCACGCGATATTGAAGTGTTTACTCGAGGATTCCACAACTCCAGCGTATTTAAGGGATTAAAAGGTGAGACGTGCATTCTCGAGCAAAAATAAAAAATATGATGATGTGACATTCTCGAGGACCGTAAACTTCGAGCACAATTAATCTTAAAAAATGAGGCCATTCTCGAGGACTGTAATCCCGAGCACAACTAAACTTTAAAAATTGAGTGACATTCTCGAGGACTGTAATCCTCGAGCACATCTAACTTTAAAATTTGGTTGTGACATTCTCGAGGACTGTAATCCTCGAGCACACTACTTTAAAAAAGTTGGGTTGTGATTTCCTCGAGGACTGTAATCCTCGAGCACACTAACTTTAAAAAGTTGGGTTGTGAAATCCTCGAGGGCTGTAATCCTCGAGCACACTAACATTAAAAAGTTGTAATGTGAGATTCTCGAGGGTGTCCAAAATGATGTGGGATTTTGTATGTCCCTAGGCGATACTATAATGTTTTACACTTGAGTATATGATCAAGGCCTTTTGTGCTTGCGCAGGGCAAGGCTTTGGTGCTTGCGCGGGGCAAGGCTTTTCTGAGTGCTTGCGCGGGGCAAGGCTTTTTGAGTGCTTGCCTGGGGCAAGGCTTTTCTGAGTGCTTGCGCGGGGCAAGACTTTTCTGAGTGCTTGCCTGGGGCAAGGCTTTTCTGAGTGCTTGCGCGGGGTAAGGCTTTTTGAGTGCTTGCCTGGGGCAAGGCTTTTTGCTAAAGGGCTGTCATACCTGAAGCTTGAATTTATAATTTTTCGGACTGGACTTGGATTTATATTATACCCAAGCTGCCTACGTACCCAAACGGGATCAAGCCGAACGTAGTTCATTACAAAAGAGAGCAGAAAACATGCATGGGCACGCAGGCCCGCTAAACTAGAAATAAAATGCAGAAAAAGAAAATCTCCTAAAAGGCGTCGGGAGTTTTACTTGTAATATACTTTTAGATTGTCGGCATTCCAGGGCCTCGGAAGAGGTCTACCTGAAGTGTCTCTTAGGCTGTATGCTCCTTTGCGAACCTGTCGTATGATCTCAAAGGGCCCTTCCCAGATGGGCCTGAGCTTCCCTGGGGGGTGGCCTGCTGCTTCGGCCTTCCTCAAGACCAAATCGCCAGCTCTGAACCTCCGAGCCTTGACTTTGCTATTAAAATGTTTTGCTGTCCTAGTTTGGTAAGAGGCCACTTTTATAGCGGCTTGCTCCCGCACTTCTTCCAAGAGATCAAGATGTTCAGTTGTATGCTCCGAGGTTTCTGGCACGAGCCTCCTATGGCTTGGCAGTCTAATTTCCACTGGGACCATTGCTTCAACGCCATAGGCTAACATAAAAGGGGTTTCTCCTATGGTTGTCCTATGAGTTGTTCTGTACGTCCAAAGTATAGAAGGCAGCTCGTCGGACCAAGAACCCCTAGCATCGCTTATTCTTGTTCGGAGGTCTTGCAATATGATTCGATTTGTTACCTCGGCCAGACCGTTGCTCTGAGGATGCGAAACTGATGTCAGACGGTGATCAATCCCAAGGTTTGAGCAAAAGTTTCTAAACTGTTGGTTGTCAAATTGCCTGCCATTGTCGGTGATGAGGACCTTTGGTATCCCAAACCTGCAAATGATAGACCTCCAAGTGAAGGCTCTTAGCTTGGGCTCCGATATTGTGGCGAGAGGTTCGGCCTCTACCCATTTTGTGAAGTACTCTACTGCTACAACAACAAACTTTAATTGACCTCTTGCCACAGGAAAGGGGCCGAGGATGTCAACTCCCCATTGTTCAAACGGGGCCGAACAATTAATGTTGGTGAGATCTTCGGCTGGTGAGTGGATAACATTACCGAACCTCTGGCACCTATCACATCTTTTAACATATT